TGCGTTTTTCGTTCTTCACTGGCACGTTTATAAATGTCACACTGTTGCTCCAGTCTTTCAATAATGAGGCTCTGCTTGGAATTTTGGTCCTTGAGAATTTCCAGTTTTCTAGCCACATCGTCCAATGCTTCATTGAGGCGCTTCGCTCTGAAAAGTTCCCATTTTTTTTTTTTTGGCAGTGCGTGAAAGAAAATCTGCTCCATCAGACTTTGCTATAAAAAAGAAACATTTCGGCGCATTTTTGTCTCACACAATAGTGGCAATTATCTCGAACTTTTTTGAAGTTAAGGCTATTTTTTGCATTTATTTTTATATTTTCATTCACACATTAATCGTATTTTGTCTGGTAGTGTTTACCGTGTCACTTACTCCAAACACTCAGACATTTTCTTTTCATTTGCTTTATTTCTGCCATACCTTATCTCTCAGAAAACAAAGAACTCTGAAGCACAAAACTAACTCTTTTTTGCTGGCCTCTTCAATTTCGCGATTGCGATTCGCATTTGCTGAGCGCAAATCAGACATCAGTTGCTGATTCACTTTCTGTAGTTCTCCAATAGATACCCATAAAATATCGCGATCTTCGTCGCTCAATGGAGGAGAGTTTGTATCGCGCGCCCGTCCAACTTCGAGCGCATGCAATAGGTGGCGGACCTGATTTTATCAAATGTTACGAGAAAGAAAAGAAAATCTAAAATCTCGGTGTCATCCTGCGTGTTCAGGAAAATTTTCCACATAAGACAATGTTTCTGCTGCATCGACAAAGCGAACCCTGCCAGCGCAAGGCCGTTTTTTTAAGCAGTACTTTCCAATGCAAGAAAAGTGGATGGGTTATTCGCACATAATGCCTGCTATCGTAAAAAGACAATAAGTGCTCAAATCACCTGCTTGCTGAGATCCTCCGTGTCACGCTGATATCTCTCAAGCTCGGCTCTTGTATAGGTCAATTCACGCAAAGCTGCATCGCGGGCTTTCTCGAGCTTTGACCGTTCCTCCTGCTCGGACTCCAGTTGCTTCTGCAGATTGCTACAGGTGTGAGTCATTTTTTCGAGTTCCACTCGTTGTTGTGTAATAGCTGGCGCTTTCGCTTCAATGTCCTGCAAAAACGTTCATAAATATCAGCAAATTGGATTTTACTGCTGTCAGAATTCCCTTTCTATAGGAAAATGGAATTTTGCCAGAATAGCAAATGTACAGAAGGGATGCGCTAAAATCGTGCACAGCAAAACAAGCTCAGCTGATCAAAGCAGAATAGTTTTTCGTGTTGCACAACAATCTACCAGAAATCAAATACCTCGACAAGTTCACGAAAGTATGTTTCGATGCGTTTATTCTCAGCCTTTGCTTCCTCGAGTTCGGCCACAACACGGCAATGCTCCCGGTAAATAGCGGTCAGTGAGACGCCAGAACGTATTAACGACGATGCAGCCGCAGCAGCTGGCGACAGTTCCATTACTTCGTCGTCTGTTAGTGTTACTGCAACAGAACTTCATTTTCTGGAGCAAAACGACAATGGCACTTGGCAGCAGCAGAAGCTAAACTTACTACGATGCTTCGATTTGATCAGTTCATTCGCTTTCTGCAATTCTTGCGCTAAATCGCTTATCTTTTTATCTGAAATGAAGAATAATAGTCGGAAAATTAAAGTTTTAAGATACAAGCAAGTGTGACAATAAAGAATTCGAGGCAAAACAAAGCGCAAAAGCAATAACTTATTAAATATGCTCGAAAAAAAGGGCACGTAGATCCTAATTTATGATCGATCTGTTTTTATCATTTTTCTCACAACATTCTGTGAATTTTGAAGCGCGCAGAGTCATACAGTAAGTTGGTTCAACACAATACATACAACGGATTAGATTCTAAACAGACTGATCTGCTGTTCTCGAAACTCTGTATTAAAAAGTGTTAAACTATGAATAAAACGCCAAACATTATATAAATAATTGGCCAACGCACGGGCTGCTCGTGCGAAGATGCATTTTTTGCATGGTTCCCCGCAGTTTTTGTCGCTACCGGCACCGGTTTTTTCGGCAAATGCTTCTAGGCTAACAAACTAAGACTAGCCGCCAGAACTGTCAGGAAACATCCCCTTAAAATTTCAGCTTCCTAGCTTCCGTGGCCCCTGAGTTAATAACTTACTGGAGCAAAATTTTCACGGGCCCGTGCATGTTTACCAAGCACGCCTGAGAGCTGGGTTCGAGCTGAATGAAACTTCGGTGGACGGGGTATATCCTCTTAAAATTTCATTCCTTTAGCTTCTCAGGTAATTGAGTGATCAATTTACATGAAAAAAATTTTGGCCGGCTCGTACGCGGGTACCACGCTTACCCCGAGCTGGGTTTGAGCCCACTAATACCCGATTGGACGGGGAACACAACCCAAGATTTCAGCGTTCTAGCTTCTCAGATCCTCGAGTTATCAACTGACCCCAAAAAAACTTTGGCGGGCCCGTACGCGGGCACCACGCGGGTTTTGGCGCCCATTTTGGGGATTGGAGGCGGTACGTGCATGTAGATTAAGTTCTTGAAATTTCAGCTCCGCAGCTTTTATAGATCCTGAGATGAAAGTGCGTGACAGACGCACACACAGACACACAGACGCACAGACACACGGACACACGGACAACCTCTCGTCAATATGCGTTTTTTGCATTGCATTGGTGCAAAAAACGCATAAAAAATCGCAGTGTGCATCGAAGACCAGCAAGTGCACACAATTTTGCGCACTTTTTCCCAAGAGGACCGAAACTTGCCTCACAGCAAGTTAGAAGGTTGATATTAAGCCTCTAAGTTATCACAGAGACAAAGAATAAGTCCGAGCAGCTTCCAGCTGATTTGTTTACCCGCGTGAAGATGTGTGACAAACAGACAAGCACACATCCATACTCAAAGACGAGGCCCCAGTAACACACGCTCCCACATTTGTATAAAAGTAAAAGAAGCATGAGTACTATTGCACAGCTATTCAATTCCTATAATAAACAAACTATGCGTTCAATGATAAAATCACTGGCAACGCACCAGGCGGCCCATGCAATCATACGTTTTTCCAGTATTTCGTACTGTAGTAAGACCGCTTGGAATTCCAGCAGCTAGAATTTGTGACATACTGGTTCTCGACGCTCAGA